CATAATTTTCCTAGTTCTTGTTTTTTTCTTGTAATAATTGGGTGTTAATTTTTATAGGATATAAATTTTATCTCTTGAGTACTTTGCTCTTAACTCTTTTTCTTGGTACTAGCTATGAGAGTTAGAGATTGCTTATTGGTTTTGAAATCATGGAAGAAAGCCCAAATGGATGTTTGATAACTTTGGCATTAATGTCATTTAGAAAAGGCATTAGGTTCTTTTTTAGGTTCCATTAACTTTGGGAAAGCTGGACTTTTCTATTTTCTGTTTCTACGTACTGGAGACATCACTGAAGGGTTGCCGACTCACAGAAGCACGGTGCGACAGACTGAAAGGAGAGAGGGAGAATAGGAAACTCACCAGAGAATCGAGGGGAGGCTGGGGGGCGGACAGCTGTAGTCCTCGGGAGGAGTGTTTGGCACACGTGAGGGGCATGGGGACACTGCACAGCTGGCCGTGAGTGCAGTGTGGCGTGTGAGGCCCAGGTGGCGCTGTTGGCTAGGGCAGCTGGCTCCTGGTCAGTGTCCTGCCTGATGTCACACCTCACCTGCCAGGGCATGTGCTGAGGAGATGGGGTACGGAAACAAAGTACTGAATGATTCGCTCTTACTGTAAGTTATTCGGTAATGCCTCCTTATTTGGGTTAAAGTCTTTCCCTAGTAATTCCAGGGCACTATGTTTCGATACAGGTTTAAATTCAGTGCTGTGGAAAACGGAGAGATGGAGATATTATCGGCCCCACCCTCAACATCATCCCTTGGCTTTTACTGAAAAGAATTGGATTGTTGTTGCTTATTCCCATTTATCTCCAACTTCCTCCTAAAGAGAGGGAGGAGGGCTAGAGAAGAAAGGGAAGCACAGGAAACCCTTGTTTTCTCTTACAAGATGTGGTTTGTGATGCCTAAAAGAAGTTACAGGATGTTGGCCAACTCTTCAGTGGAAAGTTTTTCATGCCAGTATTGACCAATGAGCAACTATGAGAATTTCTGAGTTCTTAAAATTATTTTTTAGATGAGAGAGGCAAGTTTAATTGTTTTCCAATCAGTATGAGTCTTTTGCGTTTGATTTCTTTGACAGGAACGGAGAACTCTGCTGTTGTCTGTGTGGCATTGCAGACTTGATGAATCCTTTTCTCTTTCTTTCCAGGCAGATTTCAAGGCTGATGTTGTGACAACGCGATGACCTACAGACGACCAGACACTGTGTACTACAAGCTGGCTAAGAAGATCCTCCCATGCGCGCTTCAAGATGATGAGCAAAGTAAGAAACCTAACGACTACACTGAGCCAAGGAAACCAGAGCTCTGTTCTGCATCTTGTACACCCAACGGAAACTCACCGTGACTTCCATGCCCCATCCACCTGTCACCATCATGGTGTTGACCCTCTGCTCTAGGGTAGATGTCCCTGGCCACTCTCTCCAGGCCTGCCCCTTCCTGCACTTGCTCATGACCTAGCTGTAACATCTCATTTAAGGTTGCCAGAAAGTTCCGGATCTGTTGATCCTGAGCCTGGGTGCCATCTTGCTGGGTTGCAGCCAGCTTGCAGGCTTGCTTGCACAGCTGCCTCAGTGGGTCCAGATGGGATATTCCAGTTCTCCTTTGCCATCCCGAGGGCTTCCCAGACCCATGCCCTGAGCCAGGCTGCATGGGCCACATGCAGGGGGTTGCCGGCAACTGCGTGCTCTGGCCTGCTCCCTCTGGCGGCTCTGAGCCGAGCCCCACGACCACTTCTGCTGCGCCACCGTGGAGAGTTAGTGGTCAGGCCAGGTGAGGCGTGCCATCCCATCCCATCCCATCGTCATGGTGCCTGGCTGTGAGGGAGAGTAAAGTCCTGCTGCTCTGTCCTTTCTGATTCTAGAGGGCTGTTAGCTTTGAAGCGCAGCATGTCGTTTATGCAGGACATGGATTTTCTCAGCAGGCTGCTCTTTGGGCAATGAAGATACAGCTGTTGAGGAACCTGTTCCTGAGGTTGTGCCAGTACAAGTAGAATGCCAAGAATCCAAAAAGCCGAGTAGAGAAGTTATCAGGTAAAGGCTCTGTGGGAGCTGTGTTGGCCTGTTGGAGTTGAGCAGCCATGATCAGGAAGGCAGGTGCTTTAAGGGTGAGAGTGGGGAGCTGTCGTGTGGATCCGAGTAGCTTGTCCAGCCGGAGGAGTGCGCGCTCGTTTCGAGGTCTGTGTCCTGGACAGTCTCATGAGCACCAGGTGCGGACCCAGGCAACCTTTGGGTGGAACAAACGCTTCTAGACCCCGCATTGCAGAGGGAAGCAGCTGTCCCTCCCTGCCCACGTGAGATGGAGCAGCTGAGCTGTCTGGGTGATGTACCATCTCACCCATGCTGTTGCGTCCGCAACCATCAAAACAACTTGTTCCACTGATAGCAGCCCTCCTGCCGCCCACCGCGTGTGCTGTCAGACCCCAGTGTGGCACGCGTTCGGCTGCTCTGCTGTGTCTGCTGCTGCTGTTTGTTGATGTCTATTGGCCCTTCCTCCACGAAGTCCCTGCCACGCATGATGCTGCGCGCAGCCTGGGGCTTGCTGTCCGAAGTACTGAGATTCGCTGGCCCACTTTGGCAGCCGGCATGCTAGGCCTGCTCTCTTGCCTCCAGACGGCCCACACTTCCTGAGCTCCTTCCACAGCTGTGCAGATGTGCGCTAGGGAGGGGCCTGCAGGCTGGCAGGTGTGGAGCTGCCGGGCAGGCAGGAGCACCAGCTCTCCAGGGCTCTGCTCCTCCCAGGTAGCAGCTGATAGGGTGGTCCTTGAGGAACCTCCTATATCCAAACCCACAGGGGTTCTGTGCTGCCCTTTGGTGGTAGAGCATTGAAGTCACAGTCATTAGTACGAATGCTCCCATCTTAAGTTAAGGTTGGGCTGTGTACCGATAAACCCATCGTAAGTTGAAAATGTCTGTCAAAATGCTCCTTAAGTCCACCTAACTTCCAGAATGTCAGAGCTTAGCCTACCTTACTTAAACGTGCTCAGAGCCCTTCCATAGCCTGCGGTTGGGCAGAATCATCTAACGCAAAGCCAGTCTTTGTAGTGGATCTCGCGTCTCGTCTCGTGTAGATCTTCGAATACGTAGTAGCATTATAGAATTGTTGTTGGTTGTTTACCCTTAAGATCGTGTGGCTGTGGAGCTGTGGTCATTGCTGCCGCCCACCTCAGAGTGTCAACACAAAGTGCGGTTTCTGCCGAATGTGCATCATTTTTGGAACCGTAGTAACTGAAAAATCAAAAGTCAAATTATTGTGAGTCAGGGACCATCTGCACTGTGTTTGGTTT